CTGATCATCAGCAATAAAGCTTCTAAAATAAAACCCAAACACAAACTGTAATTGTACTAAAGCCAAAATCACAATTAGTAGAAGGTGGGAACAATGAAATGTCAAAAGTTAGCTGTATTCTTATAAAACCTTATAGTATCATGTTTGATCATGCTTGGACTAACATAATTCCCTGACGTAGCATGACCTATTCTAAAATACTTTCTATGAATTCAGTTTCTATTATAAGTAGAAAAAACTTACACTAATTGTAACTAAAGAACCGTATTAAAAGAATGCAGCCCAGCCCAAAATGGACGCTGGGCCCTTAGGGATGTGGCCCAGCCCAAAGTTCGTGCTGGACCATTTCTGGTAACCCTAGGTAATCATCTAAAGCTGGAAGTAGCTCTCTAAATGTATATACTAATTCTACAAATATATTTTTAAATCTTATAAAGAAGCTTGTATCACATATAGAGCTCCCAAATGTGATCTGAGTTTGAACTGTGTTAAGTTTAAAGCCGAAACGCAGTCTGTAAGAAACGGGAACAATGGATACCTAGAGTCAGCCATGCCTGTCATATTCTCAGAACTTCATGCTTAGATCGTCAAAATCCCTGCCAGTGGGTAATGCTAAACAACAAAGAAAGGAGGAGGGAATGGGCCTTCAGCTCCTGAATCAGCCTGGTGGTCTCAAGGTCCGCAGCCCGCCTGGATCCCTAACACTCAGGCAGGCCTCCATGGCCGGCTCCCAACAGCCCAGGCAGGTCTCGAACCCATGGGCTCAGACCATCCACTCACCTCAGCCTCCCAAAGCATGGGATTATAGGCTGAGCCACCGAGCCCGGCTATGAACCTTCAATTTTAATAAGACTAAATTCTGGAAACCTCACGTACAGCATGGTGACATTCAGACCAAGACTGGATGGTTTATTTATTTATTTATTTATTTATTTTGAGTTGGAATCTTACCCTGTTGCCCAGACTGCAGTGCAGTGGCATGCTCCCAGCCATCGCAGCCTCGACCTGCTGGGCTCCCAGGATCCCTCCGCCTCAGCCTTCCAAGTAGCCAGAACTAGAGGCATGCACTACCATGCCCAGCTAATTTTTTAAAATTTATTTATTGTAGAGACGAGGTCTCACCAACTTGCCCGGGTGGGTCTCAAACCCACAGGCTCAGGCAATTCATTTGCCTAGGCCTCCCAAATTGCTGGGATTAGAGGCTGAGCCACCAAGCCTGGCCTGGATGATTTATTTGAAATTTGCTATGGTAGTACATCTCAAGTGTTCTCAGCACGTATATAAAAATAACTATGTGAGATGATGGCTGCGTTCATAAGCCAAATTATGATAAGAATTTTACAGTGTCTTAATATAGCAAATCATCACACTGCATACCTTAAATACATATCATTTTTATCTGTCAATCATACCTCAATAAAGCTGGGGAGAACCTGCCAAGTATTAAACCCCTTGCTCCAGAAAGAAGCACTGGAGAAGCATATCCATGCTGGCAAACTACCCTGAAATAAAATGGACCAATGGACAGATAAAGGGATAGACAGATGAACACATGGGAGTCACAAAGCACCAAAGGTGAACTCAGGTGGTGGGTGCAGGGTGTACACTCTATGTTTACACATTTTTATAATAATGCTGGGAGGGAAATCGGCCCCACATGTGGAAAGCTCTTTCTGGAGGGAATCTTCTAAAGTCAGACCATAGCAAGCACATAAAAGAGGGCTCTGTTTGTATTTACAATAAAAAGACCAGTTTTTGAAAAACTTAATTTTTAGAAACTTTTCTAATCTATCCAGAGGAAAGAGAAGAGGACGCTGAATCCCAGAGAACCTACCACTCAAGTCCTACAATGCCAGGACTGCCACCCCACTCTACCGTCCACTTTTTCTTTTGGGTAAAGTATTTGAAAGCACAAATGCTATTCAATTGATGACAGGATTACAGTCTAACAAACCTAACACAAGTTGAAAACAGAATAAGTCAAAAGTGCATTAATATACCTAACCTGTCGGACATCACAGCTAATAGACGAGTCTACCTTAAACATGCTCAAAACACTGACATGAGGCCACTGCTTTGTAACTCTGGTGTCTCCGCATGGCTCTTTGAGCTCTGGCTATCATGTTTTCTTAGCTATCTTGGGGAGGTGAATCTTTCTCTCTAATTTACTTTCTAAATAAAATGTGCTAGAAAAAACCACAGACATGAGCTTACACTGGGCAAGATCATCTAACACAAAGCCTATTTTACAACAGAGAGTTGAAGATCTCATGTAATTTATTGAATACTGTCTTGAAAGTGAAATCAGGTCAGGCGTGGTGGCTCACATCTGTAATCCCAGCACTTCAGGAGGCTGAGGCGGGAGGACTGCTTGAGCCCAGGAGTTTGGGACCAGCCTGGGCAACACAGTAAGACCTCGTCTTTACAAAAAAAGATTAAAAACATAGCCAGAAATGGTGGTGCAGGCCTGTAGTCCCAGCTACTCGGAGACTGAGGCAGAAGAATCATCTGAGCCCAGGAGGTTGAGGCTGTGATGAACCATGATCATGTCACTGCACTCCAACCTGGGTAACAGAGTGTGACCACGACTCAAAGAAAGAAAAAATAAAAGTGAAATCAAATGGTCGCATGGGTCCTCAAGTGTAGTTTCTGTGAATGTGTGTGTATCACTTTTTTTTTTTTGAGTTGGAATCTCACTCTGTCGCCCAGACTGGAGTGCAATGGCCGCTCCCGGCCACGGCAGCCTCGACCTGTTGGGCTCCGGTGATCCTTCCGCCTCAGCCTTCCGAGTAGCCGGAACTACAGGCAGGCGCTACTGTGCCCGGCTGATTTTTTTTTTTTGATTTATTGTAGAGATGAGGTCTCACTGCCCAGGCGGGTCTCGAACCCGCAGGCTCAGGCAATCCACTCACCTCAGCCTCCCAAAGGCACGGGATTATAGGCTGAGCCACCGAGCCCATCTGTGTATCACTTTTATACCATCGTAAAATATGAACATCATCAAGTCACATCATCATGCATCGGGGATTGTCTGCATCTGGAATCCTAGGTGCCATGTTGTTCCACCCCACACAGTCTACATGTCTAGAAAACATGGAGACTTCCTTGCATCACCACAATGCCACTATCATACCTAACAAAGTCAACAGTAGGTTTTCCAAATGTCTTACAGTTGACTTGCCAAGTCAGTGTCCATACTCCACAGAGTACACAAGGCTGTAATTCCTCTCAAAGCTTTTGGCCATGAGCATCTCTCTTGCCTCCCATGGCTCATGTGTTGTTTAGGAACGCAGATCCATTGTTCTGTAGAATCCACATCTGCAGTTATCTGTTTGCTTCCTCATGTGTCATTTAACTTGTTCCTCTATCCCTAACATTTCCCAAAAACCTGATGTTAGCATCAAGCGCTGGCCTGGATTCAATTTCCATTTTTTGTTTTTGTTTTTGACAAAAACCCTTTGCAGATGGTGCTGTGTACTCCATGAACTTCATTCAGGAGGCTCTGGGGACGAAGACTCATCAATGGGTGCAGGTGCCAGATGGCCAGTTTTTATAACCTTCCCCTCCAGCTATTTGCCTTCCTTATGTGTTTGAAGCTTGGCCAGAGAAGACAGCTTGTGGACAAGGACAGACATTGTGTGTCCATGAGGAAGTGTCTCTGGTGAGCCCTGTGTTCATCCTAGTGGTGCCCCTCCATGCCCGGGCCACACCACCCTGTCCAACACAGAAGGTACTTATACCTAACGCAGACCGCAAGCAATATGTCTTTCATTTCAGTGAAAATGAGCCACGTTAGCATTGACTGCTTTGATAACCCCACTAGTCGTAAGGAAGTCACCATCCCCCAGGGAAGGTGAGGCCAGTGTGCTCACAAATGATACTGTAGGTTGGGTCATGAAAAATGCAAGGAAAGGACCAGGCAGGGAAAGGATACCTCCAAGATCCCTTCCAGCTTCAAATGCCTAAAATCTGAATAGAAATTTTTTTTTTGAGTTGGAGTCTAACTCCATTGCCTAGGCTGGAGTGCAGTGGCACACTCATGGCCACCTCAGCATTGACCCACTGGGCTCCAGCGATCCTTTCGGCCTTAGTCTTCCAAGTAGCTGGAACTACAGGTGCGCCCTACCACACCTGGCTAATTATTTATTTATTTATTATAGAGACAAGGTCTCACCAAGTTGCCCAGGCTGGTCTCGAACCCACAGGCTCAGGCAATCCACTTGCCTCAGCCTCCCAAAGTGCTGGGATTATAGACTGAGCCACCAAGCCTGACCTCTGAGTAGAAATTTGAAGGCTGGGTGTGGTGGCTCATGCTCGTAATACCAGCACTTTAGGAGGTGAAGGCAAAAGGATTGCTTGAGCTCAGGAGTTCAAGATCACCCTGGGCAGCATAGCGAGACTGTGTCTCTACAAAAAAATCAAAAAATTAGCCAGGCATGGTGGTATGTACCTTTACTCTCAGCTCCTTGAGAGGCTGAGGAAGGAGGATGGCTTGAGTCCAGGAGTTGAAGGCTGCAGTGAGCCGTGATTGTGCCATTACACTCCAGCCTGGATCACAGAGTGAAACCTCAACTCAAAAAAAAAAAAAAAAAAAAAAAGGAAAAAGAGAAAAAACAAACAGCTGAGCATAGTGGCTCAAGCCTGTAATCCCAATCCCAGCATTTGGGAGGCTGAGGTAAGAGGATTGCCTGAGACCAGGGGTTTGAGACCAGCCTAGGCAACTTGGTGAGACCTCGTTTTTATTTTATTTATTTATTTATTTATTTATTTTTGAATTGGAGTCTCACTCTGCTGCCGACTGGAGTGCAGTTGTACACTCCCGGCCACCGTACAGCCTCAACCTGCTGGGCTCTGACGATACTTCCACCTCAGCCTTTCAAGTAGCCAGAACTACAGGTGCACGCTACCATGCCTGGCTAATTTTTGATTTATTGTAGAGACAAGGTCTCGCCAAGTTGCCCAGGTTGGTCTCGAACCCATAGGCTCAGGCAATCCACTCACCTCAGTCTCCCAAAGTGCTGGGATTACAGGCTGAGTCAGCCTCGTCTTTACAATAAATAAAAAAATTAGCTGGGCATGGTGGTGCATAACTGTAGTTCTAGCTACTTGGAAGGCTGAGGCAGAAGGATCGCCTGAGCCCAGTAGGTCGAGGCTGCGGGGGCTGTGAGTGTGCCACTGCACTCCAGCCTGAGCAACAGAGTGAGACTCCAACTCAGAAAATAAAAATAAGCCTGAAAGCAATCCTGACACTGGGATTTATTTCTCTCGGGGCTGGCAGAAGAGGTCAAGCAAGTTCTTTGAGCCTTATCAGAGTATTTAGGCACAACTGCCAGTTCTGACCCTGCAAAAAGATTTCTGTCCAAGCAGAGAACACTGAAACTGCTTTGTGAACAAGTTCCTCCCATGAGCTCTTCCTCTTGCTACGCTAGGTTTGGACTTCAAGGCCAAGGACGTTGAGACACAGTGGCTTGATCAGCTCATCTTGACACATGGGGGTGTGTCTACTTCATGTAGCAGCACAGACGGATGGTCAGGCCAGACCCCCGACATTTATTGAGGTAAAAGCTGAACAAAAAATGGCCTTGGTACTCAACAAGCACAATCCAGGAGATGCTAATCGTTGACTTTGGCAGAAATTCCAAGGCAATGCCCTCTTTCCAAGCCCAGTTTCTGCACCATTAGCCCCATGTGACTGTCTGTATGGGAGGCCTCTTTAGGGCATCCGCTGGCCCACAGGGAAAGGCCCAGAAAGGCAGTAAAGCTGCTCACTGTATGGAGGAACACAAGCCAATGCTGCTCCCTGCCCCACTCAGTCAGCATCCACCTAGCCTGCAACCTGGCCTGACCCAAGACAAAGGGAAACCAGGGACACAGCAGAGCCAGTGTCCTGATATCTTCCTGGGTGGCCTCACGGCTCCTCTAGGCGGACAAACCCAAAGGTACCTCTGTGGTCCTGACCCAGCTGGGGGCCAGAGGCTGCTGGCAGCCTCAAGAGGACTTTGTTGGCATCCAGCTGGTTCCAGTCACTCCTCTCTAGTCACCTACAGCCCCGCACCCCAAAGGCTCAACTCCTCTTATCACCACCCTCCTCAAAGACCAGGACAGCCGCCTGTGGACCACACACCTGAAGCGCCAGCTACTAAGGACACCAGTTTGAGGCCAGGTGTCTCAGCCTGTAAACCCAGCAGTTTGGGAGGCCAAGGTGAGTGGACTGCCTGAGCCCGCGGGTTCAAGACCAGCCCGGGCAACTTGGCGAGACCTCATGTCTACAATAAATCACAAAAACTAGCCAGGCATGGTGGCGTGCATCTGTAGTTCCAGCTACTTGGAAGGATCACCTAAGACCAGCAGGTTGAGGCTGCAGTGGCTGTGAGTGTGCCCCTGCACTCCAGCCTGGGCGAACAAGAGTGAGACTCCAACAACAACAATGACAATAACAACAAAAAGACCTCAGTTTGCTCTTCACATGTCTATGATGCCTCCAATTTTTTTGTTCCGTGAAGCACATGGTACTCACCTGCTCTAACTCCACCCCTTTTCCGCAACGTCATCCCCCTTACTTACTTTCGACCTGTCCCCAAGGGGCAGTTTAAAAACATGGCATCAAAATTCTTTGGCACTCTTTCCATCGGGTCTACATACCTGCTCCTTGAATCTGGCAGCCCTGTGACAGCTTCGACCAACAGAGCATAGCGGAAGGGATACTATGTGACTCTGAGGCTGGTCCATATGCATGGAGGCAACCCCAACCTCATTTTCCAGGCCATGTGTGCTCATGGGGACACCTGGGGGACGATGACTATCACAGCTGTGGGGCTGTGAGGACACTCAGCCACACGGAGGCCCCGGCAGTCCTTGTCTGAGCCCACAGCCCAGATGCTGTGATGTGAGTGATGCTTCACACGACTTCAGACCCAGCTGTGGAGGGGCTCGGCAGTCGCCCTGACAACGCGATGCCCACTCCAAGCTTCTCCTATCTCCAAGTCTTCCTTGGGTCCTCCAGGGCCCTCAAGGCCACTCCTTGGAGAAGCCCTGCAGCAGCATGGTAAAGGCTTGGGCGTGGTCATGGGGCCGATTGTGAACCTTGGCTTTTGTTCCCAAGCTCAGCAAGACCCTCTCTCCTGAGCTTCAGGTTGCTCTACAGGGAGAGATGCTCGGACTACGGCAAGCCTGCCACAAGGACTGGACACAACTCTGCCAAATCCCCTAGTATTGCCCCTCAATGCCCAACATCCTTTCCCACCCACCTCCCTGTGGAGTGACTTCACTTTTGCCAGCATCATACATGCCAGCAGCTAGTTCTGCACTGGGTCCTACTTCTGCACGGCCGGCCACCAGTGCTAGTCTTGTCTCCCCATCACATTCTAGGATTTTGAAGTATTATGTGTTTGTTTGCTTTTTTATTTCAAAGAAGTATTACAGGCAAATACAAGATAATCATAATGAAAAAAGTCCCCTTCCCCTCAGAGATTCTGATCCTCTGCCCAGGGGTCTCTGTAAGGTTTTCTTGCCCAGCATTCTAACATGTGTCTGTACCCACACACACACGTGATGCCCAAGTCACCCCAGACAGCTGGTAGTGGAGTTCACGTCCTATTCATGCCTCATGTCAAGGCTACTCCTTCATGAGAGAGAAGAGGGTGCATCTAGCCTGGCATATCAGGAAGGGCGTGTAGGCCAGCCCTGGGAAAGACCAGTTGAGTAGGGCCCTCCAGTCTGAGACAGCAGGGTCACACCAGCCAGCTGAGGGCCCACCAGTTGGTACTTGCAGACCATGAAGCAGGACAGACCACACTGCTCCCTTGGCCCGCGGCTTCAATCCCAGCATAGGCTGAAGACCCAGTGACCACCTTAGGCTGTGATGATGACACTCTAGAGAAAGGTGCACCAGGGACACCACCCACACCCTGCATTTCCCAGGAGATTACATTTGTGGCTGCACACTGCCTGGCAGCCCAGCACCTTGAGCTCTCAAAGCTCCGCCACAGGCAGAGAGCACCGACTGCAGCCTGGCTTTACCTTGTGCTTCGAATGATTCATTCTGCGGTTCTTTAGTACTCTCGGCTTCTTCATCTGACTTGAGACTCTGCAGAAAAGCATAAGAGAAGATGTGGGTCCTCCAGGGAAGTCACAGGGGACAGAGCACCATGAACAAGCACAACAGGAGGTTTCTGGGAAGGGGAGGGTACTGAGGACGAAGAGTCAGCTCCTCAGAGGAAGAGCTCACCGTCCACCACGGGCTGCCCCACACGCTAGTTGTGACTTCAGGCTGAGCCCCACACGGCGTGGACCCAGAGGAGCTGTGGGTAACACTACTCTTAGAAGCAGAGGGCTGTGTTGTAGAGACGAGGGCATGCCTGCTCTGTACACTCAGACTCCGTATCTCACACTGAAACACACTTGAGCTCTGACGTCCTAACAGGAAAGGAATCTACTTCCTATGACAGTACGTCCTCAAGGTGCGGGCTTCACACAGCCCACCTTCCCATCTCAGGACACAACCTCAAAATGAGTCCTCTCACACTCTGACCCTTGTCATCCATACCAGTTCAGCAGTTGCAGAGGGAGAGCAAGTCTGTGTCCCTCCAAGGGCTCAGAGGCCGTACCATGCATGGTAAGCACCTGACACTCAGCAGTCTTCGCAAGCCTGCACCTAAGACAGGAGGCCAGGCCACGGAGGAACACGTGACTCAAATAAAACCACTGTGTCGTGGTGACTGAGCCAGCCAATCACGGAGTCAAAGTCTGCTTTTGACCAAGTGCTGATTGTGGGGTGAGTGCCTGGTGACCAGGACTCCACACTCTCCTCAGGTGGCACTGGCACATGCTGGTCAGAATCTGAGAGGCGGTGATAAACACTCTACTCCATTTCTCTAATGCATTCAGCTCAACTGGCAATTCTAAAAGCAGTGTTCCATGTTCAGGTTTTGGGAAGGAAAGATGATTTAAGAAGTAGAATGGCACCAACAAAGATGAGGCACTGCAAGGAACTGATTCGCTCTGTACTCCATCCCTGAGGTCCAGATTTCAGAAGTGAAGGAGGAATATCCAGGATTTATTGGTGCTGACCTGGTGAAGCACACCCCTGAGGGAAGAGATGCTGAGATTTAAATATATGTTTGTTTTTCCTCCTTGCCTCAACAAATAATGAAAATATAAACAAATCAATTTGGGGTCCCAGATCTGTTTTTTGTTTGTTTGTTTGTTTTTTGAGTCAGAGTCTCACTCTGTTGCCTAGGCTGGAGTGCAGTAGCATACTCACGGCCACTGCAGCCTCAACCTCCTGGGCTAAGGCGATCCTTCTGCCTTAGTCTTCCAAGAAGCTGGAATCACAGGCGCACCTCCACGCCCAGCTAATTTTTTTATTTATTGTAGAGACAAGATCTCGCCAAGTTGCCCAGGCTGGTCTCAAAATCCTGGGCTCAGGCAATCCTCTTGCCTCTCTGCCTCCCAAAGTGCTGCAATTACAGGCGTGAGCCACTGTGCCCAGCTCCAAATCTGTCTTATTAAAGACAAGCTCCCAACAAAACCCATCTGTCAAAAGTTGACAGCACAGAGAACAGAAATTTCTGGAATTCTTGAAAACAAGTCTACTCTGTCCAAAATTAACTCACAAGCTGCTGACCTGCCCTATGGATGTCTTTCCTTTCCTTCCCTTCCTTTCCCCTTCCTTTCCTTTCCTTCATTCCTTTTTTTGAGTTGGAGTCTCACTCTCACTCCAGCTGGAAGGCAGTGACACATTCACGGCCACTGCAGGCTTAAACTTCTAGGCTCAGGTGATCCTTCTGCCTCAGCCTTCCAAATAGCTGGAACTACAGGCACGCGCCACCACACCTAGCTAATTTTTTAATTTACTGTAGAGATGAGGTCTCCCTAAGTTGCCCAAGACTGGTCTCAAACATGTGGGCTCAGGCAACCCTCTCACCTCAGCCTCCCAAAGTGCTAGGATTACAGGCATGAGTCACTGCACCCGGCTGGATATATTTCTTTAAATGAAGCACCGTGAGGCTTTGGTAATCCAGCTCCTGGGTCGATCCCTCAATCTGGGCTCCTGCACAGATGGCTTAGGAGAGTTGGGGGCAGGCGTCAACTCCCAAGGTCCCAGGGACATGTCTGGTACATACTGGTCAGGTTGTAAGTGCAGGAGCCTCAGTATATCTAAGTGGTGGAGGCAGGTGGGAATGTTGGCTTAACACCCACGTGCCCAATCCTGAAGCTGCTTCAAAATGGCACCTTCCCTCTTCTATGCTCGGCAAGTTACCACTTCATTCCTGTGAAGTCATAAACATGGCCTTCTTGCAGTGACAGGGGAAGGAGGTGGGAGGGAGCAGGGACAGAGAGAAATAGAGGATTTATGCACAAATTCCCACTGCCAAAGAAGGGAGAAGAGCGCCCCAGGGCTCTGAAGACAATCAGACCAGAGACAGTTCAGGTGAATTAGCACCCCTCCATGTACCCCACACTTCTGGAGACTTAAGACGCCTAGCATGCCACTCCCTGCATCCTCTCATGGTCATGTGCTGTGAACGTGATGATGGGAAATGTGACTTCCCCAACAATGGGCAACCTAAGGTAGGGAGAGGAGCCCACCCACCTCCACGCTTTCCAGTGATGCGGAGCGCCGAAGCTGGCTTCTCAGGCTGGCCCTGGTCTGCTGCTCTGGTGTGTGTCTGGCCTCGGTGGCAGTGTCACACCGCTCAGGCCGGCTGCGACGGCCATACCACTTAGAGCCACTCACATACTTTGGTGGGACAACACAGGAGGCAGCTGGAAAGAAAACGGGAGATTTGGTGGGGGAGCCTTTCAAAGCACACCTGGGCACACACAGGCCAAGGGCACCCTCTGCGAAGGTGCACACTCAGCCAGAGTGTGACTCCTGGATACACACTACCACACCCACAGGAACATCTAGAAGAACCCAAGAAAGGGCTAACAACGGCTCTCCTATACCCTGGGTGGAAGACTGAGAAGCCAGAGCAGGGAGACAAGGGCTTTCTTCCAAACTCTGTGCACTCTTTACACTATTTTAAGCATGTTTTGTTTATGTAATCAAAGATTCAAAACGTAACTTTTAATGCCAAGGGGAAAATACCGTCCAATAAATCCAAGAACAGATAGCTCTGGATACCTGGCCATCAACCCCCATTGTTGCTCACTGTAGGACCCAGCCACTGGAGCAGTCAGGGAAGTCTCTGAGGCCCCAGGTAGGTCTAGCAGGTAGGGCAGAGGCCGGTGTGTATTCTAGTTTGGGGATTCATGAGAATTCCCCTGGCTCTTAACCTTCCTTTCTTCTTCCCATCTTAATTCTCCACATCTGCATGGAGCAGTGAGACTTCCACATCTATATGGAAGCCTAAGACCATGTACCACACCTGTGTCATGGCAGGGCAGGAAAGAGACAGAGGGCCTACATGGCCACCACACAGGACATGGGTTCAGAGGGAGGAAGCCACCAGGATGGAGCCAGTTGGAGGGAAAGGAATGGGGCTCCAATAAGGTCAGGCACGGCCAGGGAAACTGAGAGGCACATTTTCCTTGCAGACATGTCTTACCCAGCAGAAGTCATGCTCCCGAAGCCCAAGATCCACCCTGGTTCCCTCCTCTGCACCCCAAATGGCTCATCCACAGCCACTGACCTGGGGCCATCAGAGGAGGAGGTGGGGTCAACCCAACCAACCAGAGCAGGGACAGAGGTGGAAATTGGGGATGCAGGATGGGGCTAGGGAGGAACGTGCTGAGTCACTGAGACATGCTGAACATGAAGTAACAGTGTGACATTTCAGACAGCTGAAAATATGAAGGGTGACCTCACAATCTCTCACCTCCTGGAACACTGAGTAACAATAGTGACAGGCCCTGTTGATAACAACCTGAGATAGCAAACTCACCAGCAGGGACAGAGCTCATGGGAAGTGCTATAAGGAGGAGAAGTGAACAGAGAGAAAACAAGAGCACTGTGAGAAAATGTACCAGCGCTCCAAGGGGCAGCTACACTCACGGACAGGCCTTCGATCACGATTTGGCAAAAGAGCAACCAATGCATGATGGCCCCGGCTCTGATCCAGCGTCCGTTCACAGAGGCTCTGGCTGCTTATGGGGGAAGGATCCTACTCTTCCCTGTCTGCTTGAGGTAGTGCAAGGAGAGGACATTCCTGTCAGGTGGATGTGGGAAGTTGAGGCACACCTGGAGACAGGAAACCCAGAGGTGCTCATGGCCCCCTGGACCACAAAACCTGCTACAGAGGCAGATTCAGCCATCATGGCTACCACCCAAGGCTCAGCTGGGTATGGTGCTACCAGGACAGGCTTCTGCTTCCCAGGCCTTGCTCTCCTTCCTCCACTTCCCTCCTCGGCTCTGCAGGCCATTCTCGGACCCAGCCTGCCCAGAACCTGGCTGCACTGGCATGAGCAGCACTCCATTAGAAGAGTGAGCCATGCAGGTACCCGCATGCTCTCCACAACACTCCCCAGTATGCAAAGAGAAGTAGCTCAGAGCATCTCCCCTCCTTCAATCAGGGAAAAACGCTCCTCTAAAAAGGATGCTCATGCAACAGGTCAGGAAAGAAACAAGACATGTGACTGCAGAAATGAGCAGGCAGACTCCCGGGCCCCCACGAGGTCTCCCTCTTGGGCAGAAGCTCTGTCAGGCACCAGCGCCAACCATCTGCCCTGCGTGAGCATGGCCATGCCAGCCCAGAGGGCACGGCAAACAGTGCTGGCCCCCACAGGACACACTGGAAGGCACACCAAGATCCTGAGCAGCTGGCATGTCTTTGTGATAGGAGCATCTATTCTAGAGAAAGTGTAACCAACTTTCCAGTGTAACAAATCAGCCCCTGCAAGGCTGATATACACAGCCATGTGCCCTTCTGACCAAGCTCTCCTGCTGTGAGGCCCAAGGAAAGTGTTCCCTCTTCACAAGCTAGTCCATACCACAAACGCAACACCCAGGCAAGAGGAGGCCTCCACCTCACACATCCAACATGGCCACACAGCACATCAGGGGGAGCAGCTACACCCAGGGTACTGCCAACACTCGCCCACCCACCCCTCAGTCACCCAGCCCCTCATGACTGGAACCAAGGCCAGGTGGCTATCCCCGAGAACAAAACATCCCCTTATAAATGCTATCGTTGTCCCGCCAGCCCCATTTCTATAACAGCATTCCAATTGGTCCTATCAGCACCCCAGGTGTGTCCTGGGCTGGAGACCAGCCCACCTGCTGTGAGCGACCTCTGACATCACCCCCACACTGCTCATTCTCAAACCTTCCACTCCCACATACCCATTTTGCTCACCTGATCTTGTCAACAACCCCATGCAGCAGGTAGAACATGGATTACTCTGATATCAGTTTACAAATAAGGAAACAAAAGAAGAAAAATCCAAATGTTTTGTCCAGTCCACATAGCTTGATAGTGACAGAATGTAGGGTTAGAAAATTCAATGACAAGAAAGCCTCTTACCTGATTCCAAAGAATTACCTTCATCATCCAAAGGGCCAGTCCCAGCATTTGATGACAACAGGGCCACAAAACCTTCCTTAAATTCCTCAAAGTTAACCTGGGTGAATTTAAGATAAGAGGGGACAATGACACTTTCAGTAGATCACATCTTTAATAAGTTAATCTTTTTGTTTTTCTCTCATAGGGAAACATCTTGTTGTTGCCTTTAAGAATGAGAAAATTAACTTCATTTTTCCAAATATTTACTTCAGATTTTTAACAATAGAAGAGTATAATAAGGAAAGTAAAAGCGAACCACAATCCCACCACCAAATAAACACTATTAACAATTTTATAAATCAAATAACATAAGTATAAAATGAACAATACAGAATAGAGGGAGCAGAGAACCGTAAAACATGATTATGCATAAAGCAAAAATCCATGGTGCCCCCACCTCAGGAGGGCCTTCAGCACGGATCTTTCCCAGTAGACCTCCTGACCTTTACGGACACTTTCTTATCTCAATAGTCTTAGGTGGTACACATAGTTTTTGGTCTGGATTTTATGTGTACCCCGTCTGTGAACACCATACCCAACTGGTGTTTTTTCCTCCCTCCACTCCTTCATCCCACTGCTTTGAGTCTCTAGTGTCCAATAAACCATCCTCTGTGTCTTTGTGGATCCTTGGCTTAACTTCCACTTACACGTGAGAACATGTAGCATTTGGTTTTCTGTTCCTGAGTTAGTTCGCCTACAATGATGTTCTCCAATTCCATCCAAGTTGCTGCAAAAAACATTATTTCATTCTTTTTGATGGCTGAATAGTATTCCCTTGCGTGTATATTACCATATTTTCATTATTCACTGATCAGCTGATGGGCACTTAGATGGATTCCACATCTTTGCAATTGTGAATAGTGGTGTGATGAACATCTGGGTGCAGAGGTCTTCTTTTCTTAAGGTTCCTAATCAGCTATGTTTTTTTTTTAAGACATGGGATACAATTCAGGGTTAGGTATACAAATGTTCATTATGCAGATACCCTTGTTGATGAGGTGTGCTCTCCCCCGCCCGGCGGTTTCCCTCAACTGCCAATCTCACCCCTCCTCCCCTAGAAGTTTCCCATCACTGCCAATCCCTTTCTTATAGTATTATGATAATTGTTCAAGGTCACTTATGAGTGAGAACATATAGTACACTGTTCTTTGTTTCTGTGATAAATCACTGAGTATGATAGACTCTAAATCCATCCAAGTTGCTGCAAAGTCCATATGTTTGTCCTTTTTTATGGCTGCATAATATTCCGTTGTGTATATGTACCACATTTATATTATCCAGTCCAGTTTCAATGGTCAGCATGGTTGGTTCCATGTTTTTGCTATTGTGAATAGTGCTGCAATAAACATGTGTGTGCAGGTATCTTTTTTGTAGAATGATTTGAGTTCCTCCGGGTCATTCCCAATAGGGGGATACTGGGAAATATGGAAGGTCAATTTCTAGTTCTTTCAGAAATCGCCACACTGTTTTCCAAAGAAGTTGCACTAGTTTGCATTCAGATGTCTTTTTTATATAGTGACCTCTGTTCCTTTGGGTTGATATCCAGTAGTGGGACTGCTGGATCAAATGGTAGATCTACTTGTAGTTCTTCGAGAAATCTTCATACTGATTTCCATAGAGGTTGTACTAGTTTACACTGCCACCAACAGTACATAAACATTCCCTCTTCTCTGCATCCACATGATGTGTTAATGATGGCCATTCTGACTGGTGTACAGTACCTCTCACTGTGGTTTTGATTTGTATTTCCCTAACGATTAATGATATTGAACATTTTTTCATGTTTGTTGGAACTTTTTTCCCTTTTTTGAGTCAATGTCTTAATCTGTTGCCCAGATTGGACTGCAGTGGTATGATCATGGCTCAACACAGCCACAGCCATGACCTCCCTGGGCTCCGGCGATCCCGAGTAGCTGGAACTACAGGCAAGTATCACCATGCCTGGCTAATTTTTTTATTTTATTTTTTGTAGAGATGAGGCCTTGCTATGTTGCCCAGGCTGGTGTTGAACTCCTGGGCTCAAGCAATCCTCCCACCTCAGCCTCCCAAAGTGTTAGGATTACAGGTGTGAGACACTGTGCCTGGCCCCAATTTTCCATCTATTTAAAGCACAGTTGTCCTTATACTTGGGGCACTGGTTTCAAGACCTGTCTCATATGGCCAAATCTGAGCAACTGTAAGTCCTGCAGTCGGCCCTGCAGAATCCATACATGGAAAAAGTCAGCCCTCCATATTTGTGGATATCACACTCCATGAATACTGTATTTTTGATGTACATTTAGTTTTTTTTAAAAAGCCATATATAATTGGATCTTCACAGTTCAAACCCATGTTGTTCAAGGGCCAATGCTATATCTTTTCAATTTTCAATTTTTCTTGAATATGCTGGTGTCCAACTCTTAATATGTCTGAGATGTTTTTATCTCACCTTCATTCTTTTTAGTAGAAAAATAAAGCCAGACTCGGTGGCTCAGCCTTTAATCCCGCGCCTTGGGAGGCTGAGGTAAGTGGATTTCCTGAGCCTGCGGGTTTGAGACCCACCTTAGCAACTTGGTGAGACCTCATCTCTACAATAAATCAAAACATTAGCCAGGTGTGGTAGTGTGCGCCTGTAGTTCCAGCTACTTGGAAGGCTGAGGTGGAAGGATTGCCGAAGCCCAGCAGGTCGAGGCTGCAGTGGCCAGAAGCGGCCACTGCACTACAGTCTGGGCAACAGAGTAAGACTCCAACTCAAAAAAGAAAAAGAAAAATAATTTAGAACTTATACTTTTAGAAGAGTGGTAATGACTCTGACATTCATTTAAACAGAATGGAAAAATAAACTGTGATACAGGTGTAGACATACAATGAAATATACGACAATGAAAAAGAACAACTCACTGATAGACACAACGATGTGAATGTATCTCAGGGACAAAATATTGAGTAAAAACAGCCAGAGAGCATGTACTGTATATTGTCATTTATATAAAGTTCAGAAACAGGAAAAACAAATCAGTTAACAGTGGTTAACTTGGTGGAAGAACGAACTAAAAAGGGCCATGAGGAAGGATTCAGAGTGATAACCACACAGGTGTGCTTGGTTTGAAATATTCATCGGGTTGCACACTTTGATATATGCTTCTTTTCTCTATGTATGCCTCAGTGAAAGTCACACAGAAAGACATAAACAGAAGGGCAATTGGGTATCACCAGTATCACCAGTAAGTGTTGGAGAAGCAGGGTAGGGGCCATAGGTCCAATCATGCTTCGTAAATCTGACAAAGAATTTAATTTGCATGAGCAAATCTCTGTTGCTGCCATTGAGAGCAAAATGCCACTGCCTGTTTGCAGATATCCCCACCCGGGGCACACATTTACTACCTGGCATTAGAGTATACACGCATTTGTTTATTTTCTTTTTTTGTTGTTGAGTTGGAGTCTCACTCTGTCACCCAGACTGGAGTGCAGTGGCCGCTCCCGGCCACCACAGCCTCGACCTGCTGGGCTCTGGCGATCCTTCGGCCTCAGCCTTCCAAGTAGCTGGAACTACAGGCGTCCACTATCACACCCGGCTAACTTTTTGATTTACTGTAGAGATGAGGTTTCATCAAGTTGCCCAGGCAGGTCTCAAACCCGCGGGCTCAGGCAATCCACTCACCTCAGCCTCCCAAAGCGTGGGATTATAGGCTGAACTGTTTATTTTCTATCTCCCCAAATAGAATGTTAGTTCACTGCTGGCATCTAGTAGGCAGTCAACAAACAGTTACTGGACGTCTTTGTCTCTATATTCTTTCATTGCTGAGCAAAGCTCTCCTTCTCACAGATGCATCTTTTCAAGTTTATAATTAAAGTATTCTTTTGGGGGTATGAGATCCTGGCTGGCAGTTATTTTCTTCTAGCACACTGGAGATATCTTTCCACTGCTGCACTGGAGAAGGCAGCTGTCAATCTAACTAGGGATCACTTTCAAGATGTCTTTTCTCTGGCTGTGTTTTAAAAATTATTAAACTTTCCAGTTTAATATAACCATAGATTCAAATGCAAGTGCAAGAAAAATACAAGGAAATCCTGTGTACCCAAGTGTGGATGCTTTTAAAATGTTCTTTGTTTTCTTTCAGTTTCACAAGAATACGGTCAGGCATGGGTTTCTATTGACTGATCCTGCTTGGAATTCCAAGGGCTTTTGGGATCCTGAGAAGTACATGACAACTTTTCTGAAAATGTTTTAGCTCTTATCTTTTCACATAACATCCTTTCTTATTCTTTCCTTTCCTTCTGAGACTCCAGTTAGAGGGATGCTGGACCCTTTTCTTCTGTATCCTTTAACATCTTCAGTTGCATTCTGGATGATTCGGTTAATGAATGTTCTCTCTTCAGCTGTGTCTAATCTGCTATTAAATGCTTCCATTTAGTTTTTAACTTTGGTCACACTTTTCAGTTCTAGAAGTTTTATTTGGTTCATTGCTCAGATTTATTATATCACCTTTTAGAGTTCCCTATTTTCTACAGGTATTTTTTAAGCCTTTAAAGGCATTTGGCCTAATATAGTAGCCAAAGTTGTTTGATATTTTGTGCCCAATAATTCCAATATCTTACATCCTTGTGAGTCTGCTTCCATTGCCTGGTTTTTCTGGTTCTTCCTCATCCTGTTTTGTGTGTGCCTTGTTATTCTTGATTTATGCTGGTAATTGTATTTGGCTGTTATTTATGAATAATTTCAGATCTAGGATAATGGCTTTTATCAAGAGAGGACATTTGCTTGCCCTCCATTGCCTGAGCGCACTGTCCACACAGGACCACCCTAATCTAAGTGCAAGGTTTGAGTCAACCAGAATACTGAAGGGACAAAAGACCACACTGCAGAGTAGTACAATGGCTGACTTACTTTTTACCCTATAGGTACTACCCTTCAGGATTTGCCCTTAAGTTTGGGATTGGTTTACCAACCTTGGGTCTCTACCTTGACTGAGCTTGGGTTTTACATTTAGTTCTTGGCCCCTTGAGGCCTCCAAGACCACAGAGCAACTTCACAGTTGCTTATTTAAGATCACAATATATTATCAGGGCAAATGAGGA